CAGTTCCTTAACTTTGCTGAGACAGTTTCCTTGTCTGTAAGACAGACTGAAATCATACCTGCCATCTAGAGTTGTGGGAAAACACGATGGAACAATCTGTGTCGAACGTGTGCGGCCACAGCCAGGGCTGTGTTGTCATCCCCGCCTCCAAGGGGCCCCTTGGCAGAGCTTGAAGGGAAAACAGGAGGAGGGACTCCAGCCCCCGCTCAGACCTGCTCTCCTGAACTGGTACAGCCCTCTGTGCCTTCCCTGGCAACCGCCATCCTACCGACTAACTCCACACAGGACCAGCAGAGACATATGTTCATTGCAAATCTCTAAAAGGATTAATTTATAAAAAGCTTCTTAGTCATCAGAAACCAGAGGCCGTTATGCTAAGCGAAATAAGCCAGTCATAAAGGACGAATACCGTGTGATTCTACTTCTGTGAGGTTCTTAGAGTAGTCATATTTATACAGACAGAAAGTAGAAGGGTGGGTGCCAGGGGCTGGAGGAGGGGGATGATGGGGAGTTAGTGTTTGATGGGTGCAGTTTCTGTTTGGAAAGATGAAAAGAGCTCTGGAGATGGATGGAGGTTGCGCAATAACGTGAGTGTACTTAATCGCCACCAAGCTGTACACTTAAAAATGGTTAAGATGATAACTTCTATGTTGTATGGATTTTATCACAACTAGAAAAAAATTCTGGAAACAAATTAAGCCTCTTAGTCCTGCACACTTTGCTCAGATTTCTTCAGAGGCTGTGGGAACTCGTGTGGATTTGGTTCAATTACAGCACAGTGACCTCTTAATCGGGGCTCAAGTTAGTGTTTAAGGTGCAAAGTCACCTTTGCAAAATGCCTGTGTGGCCCAGGGATCAGCCAAGCGTGGGCCCAGCACAGCCAGAGCTCCCACAGCCCGGGAACAAACCCTGTTCTTTGGGGCAGGAGAGGGATTTGTTGATTTGTGTGCAGAGGTCCCAACACAGTGTATATTGTGAGCATCTAAATGTTAGAACCCACAGTGCATCCTAGCGAGATGCTCACACTATGAGACGCCCTTAGAACCAAAGCCCACTGAGGAAGTTGCAATTCCCAGCCCCCTCCTCGTGTTCTCTCAGGGCCCAAGCAGGGAGACTGGCTGGAATCGCCATCCCTATTGAAGCTGCAGCTTGCTTTCTCTTTTCACCCTTACACAGAATTGAATGCATCTGCACAGCAGGGGCGTGCAAGGCAACGCCATCCAGGCGGCCTTTGTCCAGTCCATGGAAACTGACACAGGCCTTACCGTCAGCCCTTTTTCTAGCTGCCTCTGATGGGTCTTAAAGCCTAGATTGTTCTCTGACCTTTGACCAGAACTGTCAGCCACAGAAAAACAGCCCCTTCCTTCCTGCTGCCCCACAGAGATGTGTCCACCACAGCCTGCATCTCACAGTCTTAGACACCTGGCCACACCCCAAATTCCCCGACTTTAAAGGATCTTTTCACACCAAAGATGCAATTCCTGGGGCCATAGCTCAAATCTAAGGCACAGGGTTCCTAGTTTTTCAAAAAGATCTATTGTCAAATTACAGAACACTCCAAAGAGAAGTGACAGATGACTGTATTTAGGCAATGGGTGTTCGCAGACAGTATCCTTCAGGCAGGTTTGACCCCCATCTCCTTCAGAAGGGTTTAGGTAGCACCTAGCTCAGTTCCAGGCTCAGTTAGGGACACCATAAAAAAAAATGACCAGCCACCCTATCATCATTAATTGGTGCTATTCTAGATCAATAGAATTTAATTGGCAGTAAATTTGAGTTTATTCAATCCTTGAGGTCCAAGGATTGAAAAGTAAACTAATGAATGTGGCTATGAACTTTAATCCCAATTTTGCCATCAGATACCTTGCTGACTCCCAAGTAAGACTTTCTATCTTGATTTTTCTCATATCTGAAAACAGGAGAAAAGAGATCTGTACAAGTGCATAAAAAATGAGAAAAAGAGAAAAAAAGAACATAGAGATGCTCGCTGGCAAGGTCACTTCATTTTTCTACCCTGCAATGTGCTCTATTATAAACCTAACAGGGAGAAAGTGAGAACATTGCCTTCATTTGCATAACTGCAGGGCATCTCAGGGCTCATGTTTCTAAATCGGTTTGGCTCCAGGCACTAGGTAAATGGCACTGCCGAGCACGTCGAGCACGTCGCAGAAATACTAAAACAATAACCACTTACAAGTACAGACAGAGGAAATAGTGAGAAGGATTCAGATCTCGAGTCAAGTAGGAGCAGTTGGCAACCTGTCTCAGTGACAAAGTGTTCTTACAGAAGGTGCTCTGCACTAAGCCAGTCCCTTTGTACCATGTCACAACTGAGAAGCCAGCCCTCTGAGCTCCAGCTAGCATCCTGACTGGTAAAATACGGACCCAGACTGTCCTGCTGGTACCTCAGGAGTGGCTGTGAGGCCCATCAGGCTTAAACATGTGGATGGTGTGAGAGGAAAATACATCTCAGGACTCCAAAATCACTAAGCCAAAGGGAAAAGTCACGCTGGGAGCTGCATCAGGCAAAGCTGCCTCCCATTTTATTTCTAAATAAGATAGCTGCAAAGATAAAACCTACATACCTCCCTCACAAATGACGCACAAGGAACTTCCCTGTTGGGCCCCCAGATCTGTACCCTAAAGCAGTTCTGTTGAATTTCACCCTGGCAAAGGAAATTGACAGCTGATCTTCTCAGGTGTGAGACAAAGGCCAGAACTCGGTCATCCCTCTGCTCACCTGAGACGAATGAATATCTGATTGCTTCACGTGCCCTGTGTTTATGTTATCTTCTATAAAAATGCAGATTCCGTGAGCCAGACTAAGGCATAAGTGACTTTTCCTCTACTCTAAACACACAGGTAAATTGTGTATTCGGTGGATCAAAGACTGATCAACCAAAGGCTGATCAAAGACCCAAAAGGATGCAATCATTTGTCTCTTATCTACCTACATCTTTAAAAAATTTATTCCTCTTCCCCCAATATTCACTCCTTCCCCTTTAAATATTAAGGCCCTCAAAATCATCTTTGAGGAAAGTTATAGACCTGCCTCCCAGGCATGCGTCCTTAACCTTGGCAAAATAAACTTTCTAAATTGTTGATACCTGTCTCAGACACTTTTGGTTTACAGTGGGTTTGGGAAACTGGGAGTGTGAAGCCAGGTGAGAAATTATTATCACATCTCTTTGTTAACAGAAAAAACTCTGTAAAAAAGAGGTCTATTCTGAGCCAATGTAAGTGACCAGGGGCCAGGGAACAGTCTCATGAGGTCCTGAGAAAGCTTGCCCTAGGTGGTCCAGTTACAGTTTGCTTTTACACATTTTAGAGAGACAGGAGTTACAAGCAAAGACATAAATCAATACACAGAAGGTATACATTGGTTCAGCCTAAACAGGTGGGATATCTTGAAGGTGCTTGGAGGGTGGGGGTGCTTACAGGTCTTAAGTAGATTCAAAGATATTTTTATTGGCAGTTGATTGAAAGAGTTAAGTTTTGTCTAAAGACTTGAAGTCCGTAGAAAGAAATGCTTAAGACAAAGGAGGGTTGTGGAGGCCAAGGTTCTTCTTATGTAGATGAAGCCTCCAGGTAGAAGCCTTTAGAGAAAATAGATGGTAAAAGTCTCTTTTCAGACCTTAAAATTGCCAGACTCTCATTTAATCTCTCCTAGATCTTGGAAAGACCTAGAAAGGGAAGTCTTGATTGTATTAATGGAAATGCCCTACAGATGTAAATATCTCCCACAAGAGATGGCTTTGCAGGGCCATTTCAAACTATGTCAAAGAAATATATTTTGGGGTAAAATATTTGTATTTTCTTCAGGGTTTGCTATCTGTTATGTGATGCTATACCAGAGGCAGGAATTTGGTATCTTACTGCCACAAAGAGTCTGTTTTGTCAGTCTTATGATATCTGTTTCAATGTTAATGCCGATCTGCTGTGCCTAAACTCCAAGAGCAAGGTGGGTATAACAAAGCATGTCTGAACTCCATCCCATCACTGCTGGGAAATCAGTTTTCAGGTTTCTCTGGGGTCCTCTTGATTAAGAGGGGGCTTGTTCAGTCAGTTGTGGGGGCTTAGGATTTTATTTTTTGTTTACACGTCAGTAGGAAACATCAAGTCAGTAAAAATATTAGGAACCTTCTACAAGGTCACTAAGCACTCAGCTAGCTCCATACACCATACTGCAGCTCGTCCTTGAGCAGCAGCAGAACTTAATTGTCAGTCATTTGGGTTCTGGAGTCCAGCTGTCCAGTTTCCTCAGCCCAGCTCAGCTGTGGATGAGCTTTGTGAGCTGACACAGCTAATTCCCTGGCTGTGCCTCTGCGTCCTCCTCTATAAGCTGCAGGTGATGATGGTGACGTCACTTCACAGGTTGTAGTGATGGTTAACTGTTGCATGTTAATAGATCCAAAGGGCTTAGAACTGTTTCATAATAAAACATCCAGTACCTAGGAACCAATTTTTGTTTGGCTGTTTCAAAGCTTTACTAAGAAATATTTCAGGCATTCTAAAATGTTTAAAGAGTAATGTAACAACATGACACTCCCCAGCGTAAGAAAGAAAACATGGCCATCACAGTCAAAACCCCCATATACCTTTCCCAATCACAGTCCCTCCTTCCCACCTAGAGGCAACCATGCTCCAGAATTTGATAGCTGTCACCCTATGCTTTCCTTTATACTCTTCATCTGAATGCAACTCTAAACAATGAGAAGGCACTGGAAGTATCCTCAAGCCAGGACTAATATGCATGTCTTTCAGAAAGATTTAGATATAGCAACTAGCCTAGCACAAAGTATTGTTTTGCAAGTACACCTTCATTTGTCACCTTGCTTTCTGTGTCTTTTCACCTCCCTGAGCAGGGAAAGTGCTCGTATTTCTAGACGGACCAATTAATGATCTAAGACATTAGTCAGGGCCCTGCTTAACCAGTCTGTGCCTGTCAGGGACTCTGGAGCCACTCTCTGCTGACCCTGCCTGCTCCCCCTCCCTTCCAGACAGAGATGCGGCTTCAGGACCAGCAGCTGGCCAGACAGCTCATGCGCCTGCGCAGCGACATCAACAAGCTGAAAATCGAGCACACCTGCCGCCTCCACAGGAGGATGCTCAACGACGCCACCTACGAGCTGGAGGAGCGGGACGAGCTGGCCGATCTCTTCTGCGACTCCCCTCTTGCCTCCTCCTTCAGCCTCTCCACTCCACTCAAGCTTATTGGTGTGACCAAGATGAACATCAACTCTCGGAGGTTCTCTCTCTGCTGAGGAGCCCTCAGACTGGGCAGAGGGGCTGGAGCGGAGGGCTTGGGCTGGAGGGTGTTGGAGGAAGCTGAGGCCAAGTTACTCCAGTGGGTCTCCCAGAGGCAGGGGTCCCTGGGACTGGTGACTCAAGGGCCCCAGGACCTATTCAGTGGTGCTCTCCCAGGGGCCCTGCGTGTGGGTGCCAGTGTCTCTGTGACTGGCTCTTGCTTAATACCCAAAGAGCTCTGCAGAAGGGCCGCTCCAACCAGATGTTAAATGAGACCTGGGTTCCCACCATAATCCATCCCTCCCCATGGTCACGTTCCTGTTTCCTGGAATCACTGGTGCTATGAACTGGGATTCCCAAAGGGAGGCTACCCCACAAAGCTATCGTTCTTGCAGAAGGCTCTCCCGCAAGGGCCTTGGGGAAATTAGATGTGTCACATGTGCCTGTCTCACGTGCTGTTGCTGTCCTCTAAGTATCGTCTCAAATTCACCCTAAGTACATGACTCAGCAACATTGACAGGGACCTACTAGGAAAGGAAAATCGAAAGGCATGACAAATGGGCACTTGGAGATGCAGCCCCAATGGCTGGCAGCCAGTCTCTGGTGAGCCTGAGGCCCAGGCTGCTGTCAGTCTCCCACCCTGGCACTACGAGGCTGTGTAAATTGTAAATTCTGGCGTGTGCTGGGACATGTGATGGGGGCACTAGCGTAGCTTGGGTGCAACAAGCACAGATGTCCCCGTTGTCTCCCCTGGCCACATGCATCTCCAAAGAGCCTCTTCACTGCCACCCACACCCCAGGGTGACAGCCTAGGAGACCACTGGTGACTGAACCAGGCAGGTCCTGAATGCATTTCCCATAACTGAATTCTCCTGGAGGGGCGTGACCGGCGCCTCCTGGTGGATTCTGGTGGTGTCACCTTACTGCCCTCTCCGGAAAGACAATCCAGGGAGCCCAGAGGCCCATCCTGAGCCTCCTGTTAGATTTTGTGCCTGACCTAAACAACTAGTTTTCATCCAATAAGACTGTTACTGATGTGTTGTTCACTTGTTAATAACTGAGTTTTGTCCAAGCCACTTGTGTAGGTCAACTACAGTGTGTAGGATTTGATTTTAAGAGTTTATCCCTCACAACAGGCTTAAGGATCAGCAAGTTAAGACACCAGCAGGTTAGGGAGGTCAACCTGGGGTCATACCTCGGCCAGACTGGTAGAATCCTAAGATCAGAAGTGTTTCTGACCTTTGACGTCATCTAGTCGAGTCCTCTCATTAGTAAAGGAGCAAAGTGAAACCTGGGGGAGAAGGACTTCCCTCAGGTTGCACAGCTGTTTAGGCTGTAGAATATTGATGTGAAACCATTGTTGATAATGCCTAGTAGATCACATGTCAATGAACTTGAACCCCAAAGATGGTCTTGATGCTTTGCCAAACCCGCACACTGCCAACCCCTCTACTCTCCACCTCAGCCCCCACCACATCTCCCAGAGTATTGCAATTCAGAACATTTGGGTCAATGTGGAGCCAGGCATGGACAGTGGCCCCACAGGGCATGTGTCACTAATCACTGTCCCATGGTCTACGCACGGCATCTGGCTGCTGTGTCTACTGTGACTTCTTCCTGTGTAATCTCAGTGGGGCCCGTGTCCACCTACGCATCATGACCCACATAGGGGACAGGTTCCTTTTCTTTTGTGGGCTGAGAGTAGGACAATGCAAATGAAGGATCTCTAGTAGACAGAAAAGAACTTGATCTCTTTTTTATAATTTCAAAGAGCCAGAAGTTCTATGCTTCCTTCAAAGTAGGTAGAACAACACAGCCGAGATCTATTGTCTGCCGTGCTCCGTGCAATGAAGTCTGCAGGCCTGAGGACCATGCACTGCTGTTCTTCCTCAGAGCTCGGCACAAACACTGCCAAGTCCTGAAGAGGCATTCCTTTCCTGCCAGCCTCCTTCCAGATGAGCCCTTGAGGTCTCGGGCTGACCTACACACACACACACCCACTCACATGACAGAGAACACACCGTAAGCATCCTTGAGCCCATGCAGGAAAGCCCATCCCATATTCTGAAAAAAATGCCAAATTAGGTTTTTCTTTCTTTTAGAGATCAGTCATTACAGTAACTGAAACCATTGGGTTCAACTAAAACGGAAAGATTTAGTTGAATATAGTCAATCCAATTAAGTTGGATGCAACTGAGTGATTTAGTTGCTCGGGTAACCCAGTGTTTGCTTGCTTTCTTCATTCTCTGGGAGGAAACTAAGATCAGACACATGTTTGGGGATAGGTTAAATGTCTGAGCTATTTTGCTCAGCTTATCCTAAGAGAACTTTATTATGGGATGAGGAGGTGACCCCAGATGAGAAGTGGAGGGGACAGCGATGTTTTCTAAGCATCGGCCAGTGTTGGCTGGCTTCCTTACTTTCCACAGTGAACACAACGAACCACATTCATTCAGCTTTGTGAAGTCCCTGCTCTCCGTGGGTCTCTGAGTCAGCAGCAACATTGGCCTAACCTCCGTCCCATCCTCCTGGCTCACCACATGTGTACAGTGCTGTTTGCAGTTGTACTCATTATCCATCCATCTCTCTGCATCCCCAAGCATCCCGGGGCATAAAACGTGAAGTCTCCACCAACGCTGCTGTGTGTGGTTGTGTCTGATGCCTTCAGGGGCTCAGTAGCCATCGCAGAGGCCTGGAGGGCCTGGGCAGGCTTGACAATGCCTGACCGAGTCCAAGACCCACTCCCTGTAGCAATACCAAGTGCTATTACATAATCGATGGACAATTTATACTTTTATTTTTTATGATTATTTGTTTCTATATTGCTGTTAGAAAAAGTGAAATAAAAATACTTCAATAGAAGATACCCATATAAAAAAAAAAAAGGAGAGAAAAATGCTTGTCCTTTTAGCTTTTCCGTGTTATAGCACACACAGGGCCAAGCACTTAAAGAAAGGAAGGATGGATGGATGGATGGATGGATGGATGGATGGATGGATGGATGGATGGACGGACGGACAGATGGGTGGATGGACAACAGATGGAAGGGAGGGAGGGAGGGAGGGAGGGAGGGAAGGATTTTTGCAACCAGATGGAGGCATGGGATGAAAGAAAGGATTCACCCAAATCACCCTTCTTCCTTTCTTGTGTCTTCCCTTGAGGAAGCTACTTGGTGGTTATTACCATCAGGAGTTCCACAGGCGAGCTGATGTAGAGTTAAAAAATGCAGTCTTTATTCTTGAATTTGACTGAAGCCAGAGCCAAAGTAAACCTACTCTCCTCCAGTGGCCTTTTCCAAAGGTGATCATATTGCCTGAAATTTTTTCAGCCACTTAAAGCACCTCTTAAACCTCAAAATCGAGCATGCATGAAAATCACCTGGGCTGCTGTCACAAATGCATATTCCCCGGAGAAGTACTGGGTTCCAGCCCCAGGGATTCTGGCTGTGTCGCTCCAGGCTTCACAAACGCCCCAGGTGATGAACACAAGTGGTCCAAAGACACTTTGAGAAACCTTTGGAAGACAAAGCAGGCAAGGGAAGGCACTATTTTTCATTGATCCCATCTCTGTGTTCTCAGCAAAGGCCTATGTCAGAGGGTCAAAGCAGGTGTCAATAATCCCGTTTTGTAGAAGGAACAACTGAACAACAACTGCAGACCTCTGTCTGTTCCCCTGCCTACACCAAGAGGAGTGCCTGTGATGTCCCGTTCCACACACAGCACACAGGATAAGCTGCCGGGGGGAGCATGGGCTGTGAGGTGGGTGGGGAGTGGGTACTTGGGAATCTGCCATCCGCCCTGACCATGTGGTTCAAAGGGCATTCAAGAAGCCAGGGCCTTTCCACACTGCCAGTGGGACCACACACGCACTTTTTCAGCCCAGAGGGAAGAGAATGTGACATCCAAACAAATCCAGCCATTATTAGTGCCACGGAGAAGATAAAATGTGAGACAGCGCCCCGTGTGGCGGGGGATGCTTTTCCCAGATGGTCAAAGCTTCCTGGAGAAGAGCTATTCCGGCAGCAGCGGCAATTGTGCAGAGGTCAGGAAAAACAGTGCTCCAGGAAGGAAAAGACAGTCTCAGGCCCCGAGGTCTGCAGAGGGAGGCCAGCGCAGCAGGCGGCTGCCAAGGCTGGTGGGGGCTCTCCAGCCTGGTAGGGCAGAGTCAGGAGCTGGGATTGTATTTGAGTGGTGTAGGAAGTTTTCTGGGGTTTTTGAATGATATGTGATGTGACTTAAACTTTCATAAGATCGAAGTAGAAAGTACTTACTGCTGTGTAGAGAGTAAGTGGGGAGGAGGGGCAGAAGTGGAACCCAGAGGGCAGTTAGGGGCACGGGCAGTGGACGTGAGCATGATCTAGACGGGGCAGCAGCTGTGGAGGGGGTGAGTAGTGGTCCGATGGGTATTTGCTTAGGGACATCTTTGGGGACATACTTTGGGGACAATTAAGATGTGGAGTGTGAAGGAAATGGAGGAACTAGGGATGACCCTCCGGTCGGCAGCTGGATGAAGAGGGGGTACCATTCACTCAGAATGAATGGGGGCGGAGGGGTGGCAGCAGTGATGCTGGTTCATGGTATATCTAAATGTCGATTTAATACAGGTGGGGAGTGAGCTGGACACAGGGCCTGGAGTTCAGGGAAAGGGCCAATATTGGAGACATACATTTGGGAGTCTGGATTCAGATGTTAGATAATATTAAAAGTACTGTACTGGCCAGGCACCGTGGCTCACACCTGTAATCCCAGCACTTTGGGAGGCCTAGGTGGGCAGATCACGAGGTCAGGAGATCGAGACCATCCTGGCTAACATGGTGAAACCCCATCTCTACTAAAAATACAAAAATTAGCCGGGCGTGGTGGCGGACGCCTGTAGTCCCAGCTACTTGGGTGGCTGAGGCAGGAGAATCACTTGAACCTGGGAGGCGGAGGTTGCAGTGAGCCGAGATCGCACCGCTGCACTCCAGCCTGGGCAACAGAGCGAGACTGTCCAAAAAAAAAAAAAAATGGGGAAAAAAAGAAGGAAAAAAAAAGGAAAGGAGTGTAGGAGAGAAGGAGGCTGCACTCGGCAGCCTCAGGACTCCAGCGTGTGTTCATTCATTTATTTACTTTCACTGGATACTGACAAATTCTAATTGTGTATATTTATGGGGTACAAAGTGTTGCTATATGTACAATGTGGAATGATTGAAACAAGCTAACATAGCCATCACCTCAAGTGCTCATTATTTATTCCTCCTGCCTAACTGAAACCCTGAACCCTTGCACCAGCACATCCCCATGCCCTGCTCTCAGCCTCGAGTCCCCCCATTCTGCTCCCTGCCTCTCTGAGTCAGCTTGCTTTCGTGGAACTCTGAACATGCAGCCTGGGTACCCCACATTTAAAAATCTGACAGAGAAAGAGGCATGGTCAGAGGATACTTAGGAAAAAAAGGTAGCTGTAGTCCCAGCTACTCGGGGGCTAAGGTGGGCCCTGAGCCTAGAAGGTTAAGGCTGCAGTGAGCTGAGATCGCTCCACCACACTCCAGCCTGGGCAACGGAAGGAGACCTTGTTTCAAAAATCAAAAAGAAAACTAAAAACAAAACAAAACAAAAAATCCAGCTAGTAAGGTAGAAGGAAAGCAGGGCATCTGAGAGCCTTTAGGAAGAAACTGTTTCAATGAGAGAGTCGTCTAAACCAATGCTGCTAAGACATCAAGGAAGAAGAGGACAGAGAGGTGGACACTGGCTTCAGCAAGAGGGAGCCCCCCCGCCTCCCCCGTGATGGCAGTGATGGTGGAGACGGCCGTCTCAGCACAGTGGTAAGGCCAGGGTTGAGGAGGAGGCAGGAAGTGAGGACGTGGAGGCTGGAAATAAGGACCACCCTGCTGCATCAATGTGCCATAAAGGGAGTAGAGACAAGGAGTTGGACAAGGACATAGATAAGGTCCAGAGAGTGGCTTGGGGTTTTCTCAGCACAACATATAATATAATGAAGGTGTTGGCATCTGAGATAGGTCAGTGCCTGCGGAAAGGGAGACGATGTGCACAGGGAAGAGGATGGCCACAGCAGTGCAGCTCTGGAGGAGGGGAGAGAGCCCTCAGCAAGTTCGAGGGAAGACCGGGCTCTGAGAACAGGACCGGGCACTTCCTCCTTGGGGCAAGAAGGCAGGGTGCAGCTAAAGGGGTGCCCGTCACTGATACTGTCAGGGGCGTTGGAACCAGGACGACTCCGGCTCGAACAGGGCCTGGGGAAAATGAGGCTGAGACCTGCTGAGCTGCATCCCCAGGAGGTTAGGCGTTTCTAGTCACAGGATGAGATTGGAGGTCGGCACAAGATACAGGTCACAAAGCCCCCGCAGATAAAACAGGATGTGGTGAAGAAGCCAGCCAAGACCCACCAAAACCAAGATGGCAACGAAAGTGACCTCTGGTCGCCCTCACTGCTCATTATATGCTAATTATAATGCATTAGCTACTAAAAGACACTCCTACCAGCCCCGTGACAGTTTACAAATGCCATGGCAAAGGCCAGAAGTTACCCTACATGGTCTAAAACGGGCAGGAACCCTCTGCTCCGTTCCAGGATTTCCCCACCCCTTTCCCAAAAAACCCATGAATAATCTATCCCTTGTTTAGCATAGGATCCAGAAATGACTATAAATGTGCCCAGCCAAGCCGCACCCACCTGTGGAGCAGCCATTCTTTTGTTTCTTTACTTTCTTCATAAATGTGCTTTCACTTTACTCTGTGGACTCACCCCAAATTCTTTCTTGTGCAAGATCCAAGAACCCTCCCTTGGGGTCTGGATCAGGACCCCTTTTCAATAACAACATCAGTGGCGAAGAGGAAGGGAGCCCATGAGGTCGCTCCTATTTGTCTGTGAAATAGGGAAGTGAGTCGGAGGGGGTGGGATATTGGAGGTCTGCAAAGACATTTTTGAAATGATTACCTGAGAACAGGTGAGTTAATTAGGAAAGAGAAGATGGACAGTCTGGTCTGGTGGCGGGGTTGCCCACTTGAGGTTGTGGTCATAAATGTGGGGTATGTCCAGCAAGCCTGGTGGAGTGATTTATTTTTTCAGCAATATTTACAAGTTCCAATACAGACGTTCCAATATAGAAGTTCCAATACAGAGACCAGGCAGGCAGTGGGAGATAGGATTTGCCAAGCAGGTGGCAGAGGATGGAAACAGCAAAAGTAAATGTGTTTTGCAAAGGAGCAGTCTTAGTGTTGGACTGAGTCAGGAGGGAAGAGGGACGAGAGGACACGGGCCAGGAGAGCCAACAGAGCTGGAGGTAGGTGCATGGCCAGCCATCTCCACACGACCTGGGGTTGCCAGGCTAAGTTCAGGAGAGATCGAGACTGAACAGGTGGTGATCAGAGTATGGGGAGAGTGGGAGAGACAATTCAGATGTGGTGCGGCTTCTCCATTCAGAGACTCGGCCTGCTGCCACATTAGCTGCTGGCACCCTGCTGAGAGTGGCCGGGTGCCCTGCCCCATGGCTGGTGATATCAGTCAAACTGTGGCTTCCTTGACCTCTCAGAGATGTCATCTCTCTTATGTTTGGAAAGGGGGTAAACTCTGTTTACACACACCCCTTTGACTTCTCAACAAGACCAGAAGCACTTCCCACGGGCTTCTTCTCCATGTCAAAGCCTGAAGTCTGTGGCCTGGACGACTCGGGGAAGGAGTTGGGCGGGCAGAAGAGGAGGAGGTTGGCAGTGACCAGAGCAGACAGGCCTGTCGTAACCAGGCCCTATCTGATGGGAGCTGCTCAGCAGATTGAAGGTTTCAGACAGGGCTGTTTTTAAGTACCCTGTTCATAGGCTCAAAGCAAATAGCAGTGGAGACAGCTAGGCGGTCTCCAAAGGAAACTGATTCAGGAAGAGAAACCTCAGATGTGTTGGAACATTT